TGGACGCAAGGAGCAGCCACTGGCGGCGTTGTATACAATCGAAACTTATTTAGGCTGGCTACCACAGTAAAAAGAACATGTTAAATTTGGTGACCAGCTTAGTATGATAAAAAGTGTGTATAGTTTTCAAATGACCACAAAACAGAGTCAGAGGGTCAAGACCGAATATACGCAATTACAGGGATTCATAATAAATGCTTTCTATTAATAATTGCACTATAAAATAATATTCGTGAGATATGTCTAGGTCATAACCATATTGTGTACACAGGGTGCAGACCTTTTTTTCTATATTCCACAATATATGCATCATCATCACTATGGTCTCAAAACTCATTTGATGGCATTCAGCGTTGTGTTCATATTTAAAGCCCACACAAAAGCGGATGCTACTAGATATATACACCAGCTAACAAGCCACACCAACCAAGCAACTGCTCAGATTCCCAAGGATTTGTTCAAACTCCAAACATGTCGTACGCTGTAACATGCAATTACAATTCTGGTTGCCCCCCATAACTCTGGATATTTAAAGACACATGCAAACAAAATTACAACTTCAACCTCTTTCACTTGCATGAAACACTTAATTTTTTTTTGCTTCTTTTCAGTCAGTTTATTATTATTTACCAAAGTTTCCCATTGCAGATTAATGTCATTATCTCAATTTTGAAAGGCCACTTTATTCTTAGTCCTACATCATATAGGAACTGTGCTTCTCTGCGATGCTTGGCAGCAAGCATTTAGCCTTCTCATGAAGTTCTTTTGACTGAAGGTAGATGGTTTAACAAAGGTCACACTTATTTCTCAACAGTTGGTACCTCCTAAGATATTACTCTTCAGGCACCACTGTCTTGTGAACAAAACACTGAATAAAAAATGGACATTCTTTTTAAAATAAACAGACCAAAACTCTTTCTGCCTACAATATAATTGAATTTGTACTACTTCACCTCTCCCAACCCAACCAGTACTGACACGTGTGGCAAACTGAACAAATTAGTTGAATAAATCAATTTTGAAATAAGTTATTAACAGTTTCATGAAGACAAACTCATACTCTATCAAGAAACTATGAAACACAATGCTATAGACATAATATCACTGCCTCTTTACCAGACCTAAGTAAGCGTAAAGGGTCCCAAAGCTTAAATAAGAATCCAGTCATTCCTGAACATGACCCATTGCGACAACCACTAGGCATTAATGCTATTCACTAAAAATTCTAATTCTATTTTTTGGGGAGGGCACATTTAAATTACAGTAATCTGTAGTAATTCAGAACTATTTTTATTATTAATAATTCTAGGTACAATGCACACAATGCAATCTGTGCATACATTTCCTACCAGTGAGTTG